ATATATCATTCATAGCCTGAATTATATAAGATTGTATACCTAAAAACATGGCGAAAATTGATATTTTAGGGCTGTTGACAGTATTTTCTGATTTATGGAGTGATAAAAAGAGATATCCAATATTCCTTCTGTAAAAGCCTTAGATACTAATATGACTGCAAAATGAAACAAGAATGTTGAACCTGGCTTTATCCAAAGTTCAGATTTCGATTCCTGAAATGTCTTAAAATATGTGCATATTTAATGAGATAATGGAATTTGCATATTTAAACATGCTATTTCAGAAAACGTGTAATACAAAAAGCAATTGTCTTATTGTAAGTAATTAACTGGAGAAATTTCTAGCTAATACCTTTAAGTTAAAAAAATTACCCTATTCACCTGGGGTGTCTCGCCTTAACCTTAATTCATGACCAGAACATCCTGCTGGCTTTTTCTCTGTGAAATGTAACCCGAGCAGCTGGACCTCCTTTGTGTTGAAATGAACCAATCAGGGTGTGTCAGACGTGTCTTACTGCTAACATATCAAATCAGATTAGACAATATTTTCTGATAAACACTCCCATTGTGTCCCTCTTTATAAATGCTTGCCGCATCACAGGGAGCCATTCTGCAGAGCGAGTCCACTAAAGTCAAGGTAAGACGCTTAAAATATTTCTTTGTTTTTTTAAAGGTATTTTTTAGGCCAGGGTGGGCCTTTGGATCAGGGGTGTCAAACTCAAGATCTGGGGGCCAAATTCGGCCCGTAACTTCATTTAATGTGGCCCACAAGAGCTTGCAAAGAATATAATATGTTTATTATATGGTTACATGTCGATTTACAGAAGGACGTTGCCCATACAGTACATGTAGCACAATGCATCTCAAATTTGACTTTTTTCTCAGAATTTGCCTTTTTTATGTCACTTTTTTTTCTTTTTATTAACTTTTTTTCCAAAATCATTTTGTGGCATTCTCACTGAAGGAACTTGCAATTATTTGTCCTAGACTTCTGCTTTCAGACATAGTTAATTATGAAGTTATTACCCTATCTGATAATAATTCAATGCAGAGGCAATAATGTAATATAATACATTATTTTATATGTATAAAATATTTATATATGTATTTGTATATAGTCTTAAAGTTACAACCGGTCCTTTGAGTGCAACCATAATGTGAATGTGGCCCGTGAGGAAATGTAGTTTGACACCCCTGCTTTAGATAGATAGAATCGGAGGGACGAAACCCTCTGTAACAAAGCACACAGGGTGAAATGTGCCTGTTTGTCTGCTTTAGGACGCTTCAACATTGCCGTATTATGTGTTAATACTTCAGGTTAAAGCCTAATTGCTTACTTTGCATAGCGTCACCAGCTTTAACAACCTCCACTTGCCAAAGAAACTGTTCAAGGGCAGGAGGTGAACTCTCCAAGTACCAGTCCAAACTCCATATTTAGGTATTTTCGGGGACTTGAACCAGCAACCCCACGGTCCAAGTCCCTATTAACTGAGCCTCGGACATTAGAGATGTAAAGGGATGAAAGGGGCAGATAGAGGACATGACTTACTAAGCAGCGCTTTAAGCATGTCCTTCTATCTTTACATGTGACCTGCTGTCAAAAATCCAACATATAGGTACATTCGTTTGTCCTTTATTCAATTTGTATTTGTTTTGCCCATTTGTAATGTTATTCCTAATGTTTACAAAAAAAATGTATTTACTTTTGTATTTATTTATTTTTATTGTAAATCATTCTTCTGCCTTTTTAACCTTAATTCATCCTGCTGGCTTTTTCTCTGTGAAATGTGACCAGCTGGACCTCCTTTGTGTTGAAATTAACCAATGTGTGACAGACGTGTCTTACTGCTACCTATATGTTGGATTTTATTGTTTCGTTGTTGTCGAGAACAAAACTTTTTTTTTTTTTTTTTTCGCGTTAAAGGCGGTCTACTATTCGTCTCTTTGTGCTCTACCTGTTGAACCGGCTTGGTCAGTTTCTGCAATCTTTCTGGAATCTTCCAGTTCTTCTGTGAAACGCTCATTTCATTTTCAAAGATTCAAAGGCTTAGATATGGCAGTTAACATCTTTAGTCTCAGGCTCCTCCACAATACAACATAAGACCAGAGGTGGAAAGTAACGGAGTAAAAATACTTTGTTACTGTACTTAAATAAGTTATATTCATACCCCTTTCATCACATTAGTATGCATAGAAAGTGACAGAGTCATGACAGGTGACACTTATGATCCTTACTACTAATTGTATGACTCCTAATAAACCTGTTGTGAGGTGTGGTGACAGGTGTCTAATCTTTATGACGTGTGGTTACAGGTGTCATATGTTTATGAGGTGTTGTTTTATGGTGTGTGATGTTTGTGAGGTGTTGTTTTATGGTGTGTGATGTTTGTGAGGTGTTGTTTTATGGTATAATAAACCTTTGATTTCCGTCCTTTTGTGAGTGTCTGATGACACTTTTTTATTTTAAACAAAATGTCACAATATAGTATTTTCAAGTCGTACTTTAGTATGTCAAATTCAAGAATAAGTCATAGTTTGTCACGATTTTCCGGAAAACGTCAAAGTATAGTTTGTAAAAACGAAAATTAAAAAGTCATTGTATGTTGAAAATCTAAATTAAAAACAAGTAATTACTATTATTATTATTTAAGTACTTAAATATATTTAAAACCTATTGTTATCGCGATGTCACATCTTAAAGACAGCTTGAACTGGATAAATGGTTAGTCTTTTTCAAACATACCATACGTTCTGCAGGTTAGTATATATGGCCAATCGGGTTAGGCCCTACTGCCCTAGACGCACCCCCCTCAATAGGGAAGTCACGCTTTGGGAAGAGGTGTTTCATTTCACAGATATGACTTGATTGTTGTTGTGATGGCCGAAGGAAGAGAGACGTGCGAGGAACATTCAGAGGATGAAGAAGCAGAAAAATAACTTGTTTGTAAAAAGGACAGCACGTCAGTTTCAAGAAAGATGACTGTGTAGTTTTTCAAAAATGTAATGGAAAAAGTCCCAGAGAAAAACTAAAATACACAGTATGTTTAAAAATATGAAAAAACAGCATGTTGAAAAAAGTAATTTTGTGTTAAAATAACATGAAATATATCAAAGCAAAGCATCTAAAAGCATATACTTAAAAAAAATGGTTTGTGTGCATTGTTTCATCGAAACAGTGTTAAAATCACAAACTTTCCATTTAGAGTTGGATTCTTTAAGAAACTCAATTCATTACAAATTCATTCATATTTTACCAAGTTGTAAAGTTCTGCATCCATTAAAGTGTAACTATAAGTATCTTTGTAGGAGAAAAAAAACAAAAATCATTTTACCAAAACAGAGCTAACATCACAAAACTTCCCTTTAAGAGAAAATCTGTTCAATAAAAGTACTTTCTACCAGTTGTACAGTTTTCATACATCAAACTGTATCCAAAAGTATCTTCGTAGCAGAAATCGTTATGTATAAACGTATATAAAAAAAACGGCCTAGTTCCACTAAAAGTGTTAAAATCACAAACTAGAGTCACAGTCTTTAAGGAAATCAATTTGTTACAAAGTAATTGACATTCTAACAGTTGTAAAGTGTTCCTACATAAAAGTGTATCTAAAAGTATCTTTGTAACACAAGAAAAGAGAAAACAGCATTGATTTTAACAACTGGATTGATCCACTGAAATAGCTTTAAAATCACAAGTGCCATTAAAGAAAATCTATTCAGACAAAGTTTTCAGTCAAAAAAGTGTGTGTGTGTGTGTGTGTGTGGTGTGTGTGTGTGTGTGTGTGTGTGTGTGTGTGTGTGTGTGTGTGTGTGTGTGTGTGTGTGTGTGTGTGTGTGTGTGTGTGTGTGTGTGTGTGTGTGTGTGTGTACATGCTCTTTTGGATCTAATATTCCCTTAATGTAATACCTTTAATTGTTGGTCTTGTTTAGATTTTGAAAACACATCTCTTTAACCCCAGGAAGGGGGCAAGGGGAAAGGGATGAGGGGGGAGAATGATGTGAGGGTGACGAGGGGGAGGGGGGAGAATGATGTGAGGGTGACGAGGGGGAGGGGGGAGAATGATGTGAGGGTGACGAGGGGGAGGGGGGAGAATGATGTGAGGGTGACGAGGGGGAGGGGGGAGAATGATGTGAGGGTGACGAGGGGGAGGGGGGAGAATGATGTGAGGGTGACGAGGGGGAGGGGGGGAGAATGATGTGAGGGTGACGAGGGGGAGGGGGGAGAAGGATGTGAGGGTGACGAGGGGGAGGGGGGAGAATGATGTGAGGGGGACGAGGGGGGGGGGGGAGAATGATGTGAGGGTGACGAGGGGGAGGGGGGAGAATGATGTGAGGGTGACGAGGGGGAGGGGGGAGAATGATGTGAGGGTGACGAGGGGGAGGGGGGAGAAGGATGTGAGGGTGACGAGGGGGAGGGGGGAGAAGGATGTGACGTCAAAAACATTTAACACTTTTTCCAAGAGCGCCTTAAAGAACATCAAAGCTCAGAAACTATTCAATACCGATATATAGTTTTACAGTTCAATTAAACAATAAAAAAGGGTAGGATCAAGGGGTTTGAAGCTCTTTCAATTATTACCCAAACACAACTTCAAAGGGACGTCCTTATAGTCACCACTGTCACTTTATAGGCATACTAATGTGATGAAAGGGGTATGCATATAACTGTCCTGCCCTCTGAGGTCAGAGGGAGACTCTGGAGATAAAGGTAAATATAATAGAAATAAAATATTAAAAGCTTTATTTAAACAACTAAATACATGTGAGGAGGTATATGTATATAAATGTGTTTAATTTTATAACGTTTTAATTTCATTTAAAAATATATATATATTGCTTTTACAATCGCACACACAAACACAAACGCACACACGCGCACACACATACACACATACACACATGCGCACACACACAAAGATCCTTCTGGTGTGTTTCTTAACTGTAAACGGTGTTTGTCTCGTCACTTTACAAGATGAGATACTGTACATTTACAGGATGTAATGATGTCTGCCTCCTTTAGTTCCTGTTTCCCTTCTTCAGAAAGCTGAACTCATGGATCCTCAGACAGTGAAGTGGAAATCCTGTGAGTATTTTCTTGCAGCAATATTGTGTTTTTACTCAATTTTTAAATGACACAATATCAGAGACAGACATCTTTTAAAATGGTGTCTGATAAAATAATGTCTGTTGAGAGTTTTTCATGCAGATGTTGCTGCGGTCACTTGTTCTGCTTCCTGAGTTCATGGTTTCAGTTATCATTCATCACCGCATGATGAAAAATAAGGATTTCACAGGAAGTACTTTACAGGTCACATGCTGTGTTAAAGGTCACATGCTGTGTTAAAGGAAGTGAGAATATAAACCCACTAGGTTTAACTGCAAGTCATTACAAATGTAGACTTGACTTTGTATTGACTGTTAAAATAAATAACATGTATTCAGGCTTTTGCCTTATTTTATCCACATTAAAAAAGGAAATCATCAGAATAATGATTAATAACAAGTATTCTTGTTAATTAAATGGACTTTCTTTAATTTGCTTTGCACTTTTATTATTTTGCCATATTTTATGACCTTTAAGAAACTTTAAAAATAATCATTTGAACTGATAAATCTGAGTCTTTTTTGTTTATTAAATTAGTGTTCTTTAATTACTTTTTGCCATATTTGATACACCTGTTCTTTGTTTAATAAATACAAATTTTAATGTTTCTTTTGCACTAAATTCTTATTTATTTGTAAGCACTAGGGGTGGGAATCACCAGGCTCCCCACGATACGAGACTATCGCGATACTTAAGCCACAATATGATAGTATTGCGATTCTCTGATATGCTAAGTATTGAGATACGATATATTGCGATATAGCAAATCACATGACTCATATCCATGTCCGTCTTCCCTTCCTGGTTAAAACATGTATTTGCAATATGAATAGTTTATGTAAATAACCCAATGTGTGTTCTTTGAACCTGAAAAGGAGATGGCATTGTTTGTGTTACTTTCATTGCAATTGTATACATGTCTTAACGTAACTTCCCGTTTTATATACGACCGTCTTTTGGAGGGATATGCTACAGTTTATAGAAGAAAAAAAAAAATATGAATAAAAGTGTATATAATAAGATATCGATACTTGGTATCGCCACGCAAGGTACCGCGATACTATGCTGTATTGATTATTTACCCCACTCATATGAAGCACTAAGGGAAGCACAGATGCTCAAATTAAATTGCCCTCTCTTCATTGACTATTGTAAAAATAATAGATAAACATAGATAATAATAATAATATCTGTTTCCAGGTGTCGTCCGGCTGCTTCTCCTCACTCTGTGCCTCAGAAACACATCATCAGCTGCTGGCAGTGTGGATGAACATCTGGAGGAACATCTGGAGGAACATCTGAATGAACATCTGGAGGAACATCTGGAGGAACATCTGAATGAACATCTGGAGGAACATCTGGAGGATAATCTGAAGGAACATCTGGAGGACTGTCTTCAGGACACAGACTACGATGTACTCCTGAAGACGCTGCAGAGCGGCCTTCCTCACATCAACTCCTCCCATCACGTGGTCATTGTCGGGGCCGGGGCTGCAGGACTGACGGCTGCAAAGCTGCTGCAGGACGCCGGGCACAAGGTGCACGCTCTAAATACACTTTAGTAACTATTTATCATGATCTAAGGACTTTAAAATAGGAGTTACGGAAAAAAAGAGCTTTATAAAACTATGTCTCATGATTTAAAGGCGCTAAAATGACATTTCGGTCGTGAAAATTGCTTTATAAAACAAGGTGCATGCTCCAAATATACCTTTTAAGGCCCTGACACACCAAACAGTCACCAGAGAACTCGCCGACGCCGACTGTTGCGTCGTCGTGTTCTCCTGCGTCTTGGCCTTGTTTTCGCACTGGAACACACCATTGGAGTGTTGCTTGTGGAAGACATTCTCAAGCAACCGTTTCGCTTCTCATGCACTGATTCACTGGCTGAACAGCCAATCAGAGTGATTTCTTTATCCGGCTGCCTGTGGCCGACGCACGGCCGTGCATCCGCCATGAAAGGCCAAATAAGGCGTGTCACGGCCGACGGTGCGGGACACACCAAATTGAGTTTGGGCGACAGGGCCCCCTTTCTTAGTCCGACTAACGAAAACGGCCGATTTCGGCCTGGTGTGTCAGGGCCTTTAAACTAAAATAGGATTTAACCTGTTAAGCCCGGGACAACATTACATTACATTACATTTAGCTGACGCTTTTATCCAAAGCGACTTACAAGCAGTGCGTTCGACCAACAAAATACAACCTTGAAGAAAACAGAATCATATAAGTACATCAGGTTTCATAGAGCCAAACATTTCAAGTGCTACTCAACTGGCTTTAGGTAAGCCAGTCCACTGTTAGTATATAAGTGCTTTGTTAATAATTATATCGCTCAAATTAGAGTCTAAAGAGATGAGTTTTCAGTCTGCGCCAGAAGATGTGCAAGCTTTCTGCTGTCCTGATGTCAATGGGGAGCTCATTCCACCATCCTGGAGCCAGGACAGCAAACCCACGTGTTTTTGCTGATGGGAACTTGGGTCCCCCTCGCAGTGCGGGTGCAGCGAACTGTTTGGCTGATGCAGAGAGGAGTGCACGTGCTGGGGTGTACGGTTTAACCATGTCCTGCCATTCGCAGCATGGTACCATTGTCTTGAAGTGGATTCTAGCAGATACTGGAAGCCAGTGAAGGGAGCGGAGGAGCGGCGCGGCGTGGTGTGGTGAGAATGTAGGAAGGTTGAAGACCAGACGAGCCGCTGCATTCTGGATGAGCTGCAGAGGTCGGATGGCACATGCAGGTAGACCAGCCAGGAGGGAGTTGCAGTAGTCTAGGCGTGAGATGACGAGAGCCTGGACCAGAACCTGCGTCGCTTTCTGTGTCAGCTGGGGACGTATCTTCCTGATGTTGTAAAGCGTGTATCTGCAGCAACGGGTTGTAGCAGCGATGTTTGCAGTGAAGGACAGGTTGTTATCTAGGATCACACCCAGAATCCTTGCAGTCTGAGTTGGGGAAACGTTGGGTTAGATATTGTAACCCTTGTTATATTAGCACAGGCGGAGCCCTCTACTGGACTCTATGGGTACTACCTTACCCTGCGAGCATTCTCCCACTGAGACTTCTATAGACGTAGCTGGCCTTGGGCGGGCCTACCTGAATGCGCGCGCATCACACCGTATAAAAGGAGGCCTCGCCTCCTGACTATCATCCTACACCTCTCTTCAGCGAGCGGAATAGGACAGACAGTGCCCTGAGTAGAGGGCTCCGCCTGTGCTAATATAACAAGGGTTACAATACGTAACCCAGCGTTATATCTCTCACAGGCTCCGCCCTCTACTGGACTCTATGGGTACAGTGGGTGGAGCCCCGATGTATACGCACACTGTCGTCCAACAACAACATTCCACACTTTTATGGTCAGCAGCTGCACACCAATCCCCGTGGGGCAGGCTCTCCCTGCCTGTCCGTAGGCATGTGCAATGCACTCGCAGAGCCAGCCTGCCAGGCGTTTCTTGGACAGAGCTTTCACGATCACCCCGCCCCCGAAGCACACGAACAGCTGTTCGGTGCGTCTAAGGGCAGCCGTGCGCTCCACATAACATGCTAGCGCACGCACCGGGCAGAGGAGGTGCAGTTTAGCTTCCCTGTCCCCACCATGGAGTGGAAGACTAAAAAACCCCTAACTGAATAGCCCTCGACCTGAACGCACTCCTTAGGCTCTTGGGCACAAAGGAGGGGTTCGGTCTGAGTGTTGCGCCGCTCCGGTCACCCCGAATCAGTAAACAGCTCGGGTGCACCGACAGAGCTGTTAACTCGGACACTTTTTTTGGCTGACGTTAAGGCAAGTATTAATGCTGTCTTCCACGACAGTGCTTTTAGGGAGGAGAGCTCCAGAGGCTCAAATGGTTCTGAGACCAGAGCTCCGAGCACTAGGGGCAGGTCCCACTGCGGGGTGGAGGCGTGCACTACTGGGCGCAGCCTCCTGACCCCCTGTAAAGGCTGACCTGCCGCCAAATCCCTCATGGCAGGACGAGATGGCTGCTGCATACACTTTCACTGTTGAATGCGCAAGCCCTCTGTCCACCAGTAACTGTAAGAAGGAAACAAATAGAGCCTAACTCACAAGATAGGGGCTCTATTCTCCGCTCCTCACACCATCGCTGGAATCCTAGCCACCTCGGCTTGTAACAGGCTGTGGTGGATCCAGCTCTAGCTGCCTGGATAGACTGAATAACACTTTCAGACAGTCCACCCTGTCTCAGCCTGTCCCTCTCAGGATCCAAGCCTGGAGAGGTTGGCCGAGAGTGGGTAACGCCCCGATTGCACCTGCCTCTTGAGACATCGCCCCCCAGAACTGGGTAACCGCCCAGGGCTGGCCCACCTTCAGTTCAGTCTTGTCAAGGTTGAGCTTGAGGTGGTGAGCAGACATCCACTGAGAGATGTCTGCTAGACAAGCAGAGATGCGTGCGACGACCTGGGTCTCTGAGCGGGGAAAGGACAAAATTAATTGGGTGTCGTCAGCGTAGCAGGGGTATGAAAAAGTGGAATTGTGGAGAGAAATGACTCTTACTCTGGGATAAATGCAATAGTCTTTACTGAATGCATTTTTCCCACACACACACACACCTCACTCCAGAACTAGAGTTTACAAACGTAAACCACCGTTCTCCTGCAGGGGTCCCTGAACACACCGCGGCCACTCTCACGAGGGCCGCACGCCCACGTATTAACGCTGTATTTCCTATTGCAACGGTGAAATGCATTAATCGGAGCTATTATACCAGGCAAGGTGTGTTTTCTGACAACAGCACGCTGGCAATAGCGTCTCTTGAACCCGCACAGTGCTTTGACAGCACTCGGTTTATTCCACTCACGTGCACACGCCCACCTGCTGGCTCCCTATACTGGGGTTTACAGCAAGGGCGGGGAGTGTAGGACAGTGTTTCTTCCTCTGGGGATGGGCAAGAAGCAGCCACGCTGCGACTACTCCTCATCCCGTGAGCAAGGAGATCGATCCAAAGAGCCCTTCCGTAAACACGGGGGCTCCCAGGAGATCAACACGGTCCTCTTTGGAAAGTGCCACGCGGCGTGATATCCCAGGGACATCACACGGCGGGCAGCGGCGGTGGCCTGTGATCAAGTAGGGTCGACCCTATATCATGTGAAGCCACCAAGCACCGGTCCCCGGGGGAACCGGGCCTGGGGCAAGGCCTGTGGACCAAGCTACTTATTCGGCCTTGCGGCCCAATAATCGCTCTGACCTGGTGAGGTGGGGGCATCTCTAGCAATGAGTGAGTAGCCCACACACCCGCCGCCATGATCATCATCCAGGGAGAGCACAGCCCTGGGCAGTGGACTTCCATGGACGCCAGACCCGGAAAGAATCGCGAACGTGAATGGCACCGCCTCGGCCATATCCTGGTCCCCCAAACACTCGGGTGAAAATTGCTTGTGCCCATAATGGGCAGCATTAATATATATACACACATGCCAGCTAAGGTCAGAAGAGCTTTATTTAACAGCTGGTCTTATGTTTGTGACCCCTGTTGTTAATTGATAACATTACATTAATTGATAAGCCTGAAACATGCACTTGTCAAGGTTCAGAGGCACATTTTGCAAATATGGCAGTAGCCATCGATCAGCTTAAGATAAGATATACTTTATTGATCCCAAGTTGGAACATTTGCGTTACATCAGCATGTGTAACAGTTAAATATGCAGTGGTGTTTATTTGTAAATCATTTAGTAAAATCACACACATTCTGTGTTTTATATTTAACAATTCTGTGTTCTTTATTTATTTATTGTTCAATACCTGACAAGGCCGGAGATGAAATATCTACATACATCTTATAAGAGTATAATACATTATGTATAATATCAGTTAAAATAAGTGCTTCAACATAGTTAACATTGCTGGAGGTACGCACAAATATTGATAGATGTCTTGTAATGCACTATTGAGGAACCTGCGACCCAAGTTTTTCATTCAATGCATAACTACACCATAGTTGTGTAGGCCTATATGATATGTCAATAAACCTTAGAAAATCTTGAAATCTTGAAAGGGATGTGCAAAATAGTCATTATATACAGTCTTTAATTAACTATTAGTAGAGAATAACGAGTAATGAATATACTTTATAGGGATCCTATTAATATCTAATAATAAAAATAATGAAATTCAATAACATGCTTTAACCACTAGGTGTCCCTTTATATCAGCTGTGCACCTTTATGGTGTAAATACAGCCTATCTACCAATTGGATCAAATATAAAAGTCAGCCGAATTAGTGTTGATACTGCAAGGAGACGTATTGTGTGAAAAGAAATGTAAGATGTTGTTTAATGGCTGATATATTTATGATCCACGTCACGTTTTCAGTTCCTCATGTTTGTCTAGAAGTCTTCTCATCAGGGCTCTATAAATACAGAACTACGGCAGATATGTAATATTTAATGCAGCCGAACCGTGTATTACAATGCCGTTATGTGATGACTTCCAAAGAGAAAAGCAAGCACACTCGGAATAAAGTATTATTTTAAAAATGTTTTCGGTCTGTTTCCGGTATTTGTTAATGACGATGTGCTGTGAGATG